GTGTGTGTGTGTGTGTGTGTGTGTGTGTGTGTGTGTGTGTGTGTGTGCTGGGCTCATTAATGGGTTTTGACTCTACATTTGTTGCAGTAGCAGTCTGTAGAGTGGACCTTGGGATCAACTGAGGAGGCGTCAGGCAGAAAAACAACCGCAGTATCTACAGGACGCCACTGATAGTTTCTCTCACACAGAGAATAAAGAGAACGCTGTAGAAAACAGTTTGCACCCGCAGACAGAAATCAGTAAACAGACACTCATACGGGGAGAATACATGCAGCATACATGCACATCACCGCCGAAGCTCTTAAGTCTGAGGCACACATACACCTACACGCAGTGGGCAAAGCTCCACGTCAAGGACAGTATTGATCTTTTTAAATGAGAACGCACCTGATTATGAAAGCTTTTAACCCAAATGCCTAATGCAGCACAGGTTTAATGGAAAGAGCTTAAAGCGGATACAATACTCAGGAGAGAGGGCGCGTGCGTATGCGTGCATGGTGAGCGTCCACGTGCACTCTCCACTGAGGTGCAGTCAATTTGATTGATTGTTGAGAGATCACCTAGGCATTTTACTCCCGCCATGACGAGGATTTTACTGATCAAAGAGGCTTAAGTAATGATGGATTGAAGATGGTCCCGCCGTCATTAAAAAAAAACAACACCAACAAAATAAAAAACCCTGATCCCAAAAGTAGTGCACAGCACACCAGGCAAGACTATTCAAAATGCTGAGAGGGAACCATTTCGAGGCAGGCTCATTTGTTCACTGAGAAATGACCACTTATGCATCATCATAAATCATCTGCTGCAGCTGTTTGTTCATATTGCTTCATCCATTCCTCCAGGATCGCTTTCAGCATAAAGGCAGATGCTGCATAATCCATAATGAATCAGATTTTATGAAATTCACAAGGAAGTGAAATGTTTGACTCATCAGTTTATTATGCACCAGATATTTACACCAGATTATGAAATGTATTTCCAGTAAACAGTGAAAGCTAACAAATGCATTGTTTGTTTTGTTGAACTTGAAAGTCAATATCTGGTATGACCACCTTTATTCTTCATCCTAGTTTGAACTCTTTCTTGTCATTGTTTTATTAAGTAGTCAGGAATAGTTCTCCAGGCTTCTTAAAGGACATTTAAAGCTCTTCTTTGGATGTTTCTGCTTTTTCTACTGTTCGCTGTCAAGACGATCCCACATCGCTTCAATAATGTTGATGTCCAGGCTCTGGGGAGGCTAATCCATCGATTGCATGTTTTTCTATCCAGGTATGCTTTTACTGCATTGGCACTGCGTATGGACTCATAGTCATACTGAAAAATGAAGCAGTTGCTGACCAGATGCTTTCCCAAGGGGACTGCATGGTGGATCAAAATACTTGGTGGATCTTACCATACTTTTCTGATTTCATAATTCCTTGAATTTTGACAAGATCCTCAGCTACACTGGCTGAAATGCAGCCAGTACAGCCAACAGCAGGGAGGAAAGCTAACAAATGCATTGTTTGTTGAGGTTTTGTTGAACTTGAAAGCCAATATTTGCTTCCAGTGATGCTTCCAAACAGGAAGTCCAAGGTTTAGCAGTGCCCCAAACCGTGACAGAGACTGCACCAAGTTTTACACATGGCTGTAGACGCTCACTGTTATGCATCCTGGTCTCCTCCACTCATTTTTTTAATCCAGTTCTTGTGTAATTTTTAATGCCTCAGCCTTTTCTCCTGTTTCCCTTCCTTAAGGATGTCTTCTTCACAGGCATCCTTGGACTGAGACCATTTCTGATGAGGCTTCAGTTGATCAGCAGTAGATGATCAACTAAAGG